CACACACACACACACACACACACACCTTTGTATACAAAGAATTCAAACTTTCTCCGTGGGTGAAGCCCCATATAAAGGATAATTTCCACAATAATAATTCTTAAGACTATAGTCAGAAGAAGAGAAACAATCACTCCAGAACCAAAGCATTTTGAAATAAAGCCTGGCCACTATCTTATGGGGTCTTATTTAATGTAGAAAGTAAATCTGAATTTTGTAGTTTTGCCTCACATGATCTAAGAATTTTTTCATCACATTTTTCTCTCATCCTCCTGTTTGATAGTGATGTCTAACTGAAGTCACATCATTTAACTTTTTTTTTTTTATGTTATGTGACCCATGAGCAGAGTAAGAAACAGGACATTCCTCGGGAAGAGCAGGGACCAACCACCAAGAATTTGGATTTTTGGCCCCAACTTATTACCCTGATGGTCACTATTATTGATGAGGATAAGACTGCCTATACACCTGTCCTGAATCAGTAAGTACACTGTTTTACAAATGAATTGATTTTATTCAACTAAATTAAAATAAGTATTTGAAATACAGTTTATAATCTCATGACAATGACAGTGGCACACAGAAGGAAATCTCTTTGTTTTGTTTTCTATTGTTGTTTTTAATGTCAGATTTAGAGTCACATTTCTTTCTGTGAGTTAACCACTGGTCTGCTTTCTGATGCTATAAACTAGTTTAGAGATTTTATCCTTTTTAGCAAAGGAATCAGAAATTACATATATTATTTTGTCTGATTTTTTGACCCATATTTTGAGATCCATCTAGATCATATTGTCAATATTTCATCTTCTTTTATTCCTGAGTAGTATTCCACTACATAGATATACCACAAAATGTGTGTCCATTCAAATATTAGGGTTAGGTTTAGGGTTAGTGACACCATTGTTTGTTTGTTTTTTAAATTAGGTTGCTTTGAATATTTGTTTATAAGTTTTTGCATAGACACACTATTTCATTTCATGTTGTAGGTACATTTTTGATATTTCTTTAAACTGCCAACATGCTTTACAAAGTGGCTGTACATTGCCAACCCTTGGTATAATTGGACTTTAATTGTAGTTATTCAAATAGTGTACATTGGTAGCTCACTGTGGTTTTAATTTGTGCTTTTCTTTGTGTTTGTTTTCTGTATATGCTGTGATATAGAGTTTAAGATTCTTTGGGATTTTTTCATATGTTTATCTAATATCTTAAACTCTGCTTGTTAGAGAAATTATCCTTCCCCCTTTGAATTACTTTGGCAACTTTGTAAAATAATCAATTTAAGTATATGTGTGTTTATTTCTGTACTCAGTTCCATTGATCTATTGATTCATACATTGGTAAAGTAGTGATAAATGTCTTTGGCTTTAGTATGGAAAACTATCGCTCCCTCAATTATGAAAGAAAATTTTGCTAAATAGAATAGTCTTGTTTGACAGGTATTTTTTTTTCCAGCACTTTTAATATATCATCTCACTCCCCTCTTACCTGCAAAACTTTTGCTGAAAATCCACTGCTAGCCTTATGGGGATTTCTTTGTATGTAACAAGTTGTTTTTCTCTTGCTGCTTGTAAAAGTCTCTCTTTGTCTTTTATATATTCTTTGTTGAAATTCTAACTGTGTTCATGCATTGATTTCCTGACATCAGTGAGCATTTTTATGACCATTATCTCAAATTCCTATCAGTCAAATCACTGACCTTCATTTCATTAAGATCAGTTTTTGGTAATTTATCTTGTTCTTTTGTCTTAGATATCCCCTCGCATCTTCACTTTTCTTGACTATGTGTCAGTTTCTGAACTTCAGATAAAATTGCCTATGCAGCATCCATCTTATATAAAAACTGCTGTTTGAAATTCTAACCCTGCTATTTTGGTTTCTGTAAACGTTTGCTTATTTAAATAATAAGGAAAATAAGACTACTCCCATTCCAGAGAGGCCATTAACCTTCCCCAGATGAAGTTATCAGTGCTGGTGCCAGGCAAGGCCTTTGGTTGAGGTCTCAAAACCCCAGCACATAGGGCTCTTTAAGAACTTGCAAAGGGAACCGGAAAAAACCCTTATTTGGGAGACAAAGAGCTGTAAAAAGTATAAATAGGAAAGGTTCCTCCATGTTTTTTGCCCAGAATTTGAAAGACATTTTTCTCTGGGCCCGCATGTAGTAATAATAATAATAATAATGATGATGATGATGATGATCAAGTGTAACTCCATTTCTCTGAGCATTGCTTGGTTTTCTCCGTCTTCTGTAACACCTAGACTTCACAGAGTGGTCTTCTCAATCAGTGCAGCCCGAGCTTGGGTTGTCTCTCAAACCTTTATGATAGTCCAAGCTTCTGTCTTTGTTCTTAGTGGCTCCCACAGCTGAGGGTGTAACCAGGCCTGTCGTTGTCTCGCTGTGCTGTCTCGAAGGGGAGGAATGCAGCCAGCCCGGATGCAGGCTAATTAGAAGCCAGACCCTGGGGCAACAGCTGGGAAAGAATATAATTAAGCTCCTTCCAGGGAGAAACTGGAAGATGAGCACTTTTTCCTGCTCTGTTCTACACTGAGCCCAGGAATATAGCCACAGGGGTAGGAGGTGGGGAAGAGGATACACCTGCACCTATTGCAAAGTTGCTTATTTGTTTGCTCTAGTCCTGTGGGACTTGTGAATGCAAGCCCTATTAGTATCAGAGCTAGGTGATTTGAGGACCTGTCTCTCTGGTGGTAGCCAGAAAAGTTGGGGCACCCTTCTTTTAGGAGATGCTGGCATTGTAATTTTGTGGGACCTGGGACGCATCTGCCTATATCGCCGCCATCTTCCGAGTCAATGATCTCTTCGCTATATGTGTTTTCTGATGGTCGCGACCCGTAGGTTGAGAACCACTGTGCCTAGATGCATGTTAAATTAGAACCCAAGCCCCCAGGCATCAGCTTGCAAAGAATGCAGTCCAGCCCCTTCCAGGGAAAGACTGGGAGATGGACATTTTTGCCTATTCTTTCTGGACTGAGCCTCCAGGGGACAGTTGCAGGAAGTGCTCATGCATACATTGATAACAGCTTCTTTGTTTGCTATGGTCCTATGAGTCTTATGTACACAAGCACTGTTGGCTTTCAGAACTAGTTGTTTCAGGAGTCCATCCCTCAGATGGGAGTCTAAAAAGTTGAGGTACTAAGTATGCAGTCCAAACCCTTCAGTATTTGGAGAAGCTGGAGGTTAGGGAATCCCTCCTAGCTATATGGCACTCTGTGGAGAGGGGCTGGGGGAGGAGGGATTAATAGCAAGACTGTGTCTCCACCTTACGTCATTTTGTCGTGGGAATTTTCTCATTTACCTGATATGTAGGAGTCACTCAGCTAGTGTCTCAATTTTTCTCAGAGGAGTTGCTCCATGTATAGTCATATGTTTAGTACATCCCTGGGTGAGGGAAGTTCAGGAACTTCCTTTTCACCATTTTCGTTTCCCCAAACCTACTTGTTCTTAAGTTCTTGTAGTTTGTGTCTTTAAAAAATTTTTTTTATTTAATCTAAGTGGTCAAATTTACTATCATATGATTACTCAGGACATTTTGTATTATTCTTTTAATGTCTATAAAATCTGAATAATTTCCCCTTCTTCATCTTGTTACAGAATTTACCAGGAGACCAAAATATACACAGGAGTACTTGGAGACACAAGAAAAACCCATTTATTTTCAGATGTTTTGCATGTACTAGTACAATGACCCAAGGGAGACTGTTTCTCTCCAAATCCTGAGAAAACCAATATGGAGGAAGCTCTCCCTTTATACTTTTTGGTTTCTTTGTCCCCCAAATAAGGATCAGACTTCCAGACCTTTTGCGGGCTTTGCAAGGAGGCCCATGTGTTGGGATGGGGGCCGTGAGACCACACCTAAAGGTCTGGCCTGTCACCAGCACTGATAACCTCCTCTGGGGATTGTGTATTGTTCATGAAATATGGCCTCTGTAAAATGGGAGTACTTAGGTAAACAGGTCTTCTAAGACCAGATGATGGAGGAAGGGGCAGTGACTAAACTATACGCTAACAGGAATGTGCATTACATTACTGGCACAGATTCAGATTACTAGCCCCCCCCCCCTGTCTCATTTTTCCCATCATTCCCTCTCTTTGATCCTCAAGCTGATTTTCAGCCTTGGGGATTCAATAGAAGACTCACAGCTAGGGAG